GGGAAAGGGGAGAGGGGGGAAAAGAGGAAAAAGGAGGGGAAGAAAGAAAAAAGGAGGGAAAAAGAGAGAAAAAAGAGGGAACGGGGAAAAAAAGAAAGATATGGGAAAAAGGGGGAGAGAAGGGGAAAAATAAAAGAGAAGGAAAAAGGGTGCAAATTGCAGTGAGTTTTGGGGGTCAGACAGACAAGAAGCTGTTGCTGGTAACAAACAGGGGAAAGCTGCCACTGGGGTGGGAACATCCAGACCTTGTGGAATATTATCACATCTTTATTTAGAAATCAGATTCTGATACCAGTATCAGAGAACAATCTGATGGATTAAAACCCAACTCTCCCTTTTGAGCTCAGTGAAGTGTCTGAACCCCCGGGAAGAGCCCGGAGCTGATCCCTGCCCCTGGAGCCAGGATTCCCTCACCTGTCCTCCTTGATCCTGGCCAGCAGAGGCTCCAGCCAGCCCAGGGTGCACTCACAGTGGGCATCCAGGAAGGTGATCACCTGGCCCTTGGAGGCGGCGGCCCCGCGGAGCCGCGCCCGGATCAGCCCCGAGCGCTGCTCCATCCGCAGGATCCTCACGGGCACCTCCAGGGTCTTCACGTAGTTCTCTAAGGAGGCCTTCAGAAACTCTGCCAAACAGAATTGGGGGAGGAAACAGAGAGAAAATGTGGGGTTTAGAGAGGTTCAGCAGCTGTTGAAGACTCCAAAGGACACACAGCTCCCCCCCCGCTTGTTGGAGCAACTCAGGGGGATTGGAACGAGATGATCTCTAAGGTCCCTTCCAACCCAACCCAACCCATTCTCGAGTTCTCTGATAAAATCACAGGAATTTTAAATAAATCACAATCAATTATTTCCTGAAATAAGCCAGCAAAGAGTGAGTGCAAAACAAAAGACCCTTTGGCCGACTTGCCAACGGTTCGATCCAAAAAGGGCCGTTTTGGATGAATTTAAACATTTGAGCTCTTTGGCTCCTCTTAGGAAAAACTGGAGTTACTTGGCTAAAATCTTCCTCCACCTTCTGGAACAGAGAACCATTAAGCCACTTAATGAACAGGGAAATGCAGGAGAGTAATTAGAGTTAAGTTAATGCTCCATGAGGCAGAACTAAAGGACGGAGTCGCTGCATCCTCTGTCCCCGGAGCAGCTGCAGCTCCAGGTTGCATTTGCCATTAGGCACATTTGGCTACTCCAGGATAATTTATCATTCCATTGACTCCATTTAAAGAACGTTGTGTGATTCCTTTTGCAGGTAATATGAGTTTCACATGGAGACAGTTTTCTTTCTAAAGCCTGAGTTTAAAAAAAGAACAGGGGAAAAAAAAAAAAACAAGAGCAAAAGAAATGAACCCCAAATAGGAGCAATACAGGCAGGGGTTGGAATGAGATGGTCTTTAAGGTCCCTTCCAACCCAAACCATCCTGGGATTCCATGAAATTGGCTCAGTGTGGGTATTCAGGAAAATGTGAATCACAGAATGAGGAGGTGGAGAGACAGGGAGAGATGTGGAAAAGGACTGACCTTTAGAGGAACGTGAAACATTAAACTGCAGGGCAAAAAAAGCACTGATGGAATTCTGGATACAACCTCAGAGCCCCTTGCAGGGCCTAAAGGGGCTCCAGGAGAGCTGGAGAGGGACTGGGGACAAGGCATGGGGGGACAGGACACAGGGAATGGCTTTAAACTGACAAGGGCAGGGATAGATGAGATATTGGGAAGGAATTCCTGGCTGGGAGGGTGGGCAGGCCCTGGCCCAGGTTGCTCAGAGAAGTTGTGGCTGCCCCTGGATCCCTGGAAGTGTCCAAGGCCAGGTCAGACCAACCTGGGCTGGTGGAAGGTGTCCCTGCCTATGGTGGCAGAGCTGGACTGGATGACCTTTAAACATCTCTTCCAACCCAAACCAGTCTGGGATTTTATGAGTTACACCCTGACAACCCACCTGTACCCCCCTGTCACTCCCTGTCAGCATCTCCACCTCTGCCCACACTTCTGCTTCTGATCATTGCATGGAATCATGGAAAGGTCTGGGTTGGAGGGGACCTTAAGGCTCATCTGTCCATGGGCAGGGACACCTTCCACTAGCCCAGGTTGCTCCAAGCCCTGTCCAACCTGCCCTTGGATGTTTCCAGGGACGGGGCAGCCACAACTATTGGACATGATAAAAAACTGGAAGCACATTCCAAAAAAAAAACAAAACCAAGAAAGGTCAAAACCTGAGCAGCACCAACCCCCAGCCACCCTCCACCCCCCTGCTCAGGAGGGGACCCTCAGACTGCACTGAGAGAAGCCCTGGGGTGGGAATTGCTGTGTCCCATGAGACAGAGCAAGGCCTGAAGAGTTAACTCAGAATGCAGGCTCTGAGCAAAAATTAAAGAACCATCACTCAAGGACTAGCAGAAGACAACACTTTACCGAAGAATGCTGACACACTGACACAAAAGAATAAAAAGTAAGAGCACAGGGAAATAAGGAGCACCAAAAATGTATGTAACACACATACATAAATAGACAAAAGGAAGGAACATGGAGAGATAAGGGGAAAGAGAAGGGCCA